TTAGTGCTCTTGTAGATGGCTCTGACCTGCGGAGTGCCACAGGGATCAATTCTGGGGCCTCTTCTGTTCAATATTTACATGCTGCCATTAGGTCAGTTAATACGCTCCAACAATGTATCCTACCACAATTACGCTGATGACACTCAAATTTATGTCTCACTTACTGCAGGAGAACATGGACCAGTGGAATCACTCCTTCACTGTACTCAACAGATTAGTGATTGGATGCAAAATAACTTCCTTCAGCTAAACGCAGACAAAACAGAATTGATTGTCTTTGGTCCTCAGAAACAAAGAGAGAGCGTTATTCGTCACCTCCAGTCTCTCTCCCTGGAACCTGTAGGCAAGGTCAGAAACCTAGGAGTTATAATGGACTCAGACTTAAATTTTAACAGTCATATCAAATCAGTAACATCAGCAGCATTTTACCATCTGAAAAACATTGCCAAAATTAGAAACATAGTGTCTAAATCAGATCTGGAGATTCTCATCCATGCATTTGTCTCCAGTAGGTTAGACTACTGCAATGGCCTGCTCACAGGTCTCTCCAAACAGGCTGTAAAACAACTGCAGTATGTCCAAAATGCTGCAGCTCGAGTCCTGACCAGGACCAGGAAATATGACCACATTAGTCCAGTTCTCAGGTCTCTGCACTGGCTTCCTGTGGCGCAGAGAATAGACTTCAAAGCAGCACTGCTTGTGTACAAGTCTCTCCATGGCCTCGCACCAAAGTACTTAAGCGACTTGTTAGTGCCATATGAACCGGCCCGGACTCTGAGGAGCACAGGAGGTAGCCTCTTACTGGTTCCAAGAGTCAGAACTAAACATGGGGAGGCAGCGTTTGAGATTTATGGAGCTAAAATCTGGAACAATCTTCCTGAGGATGTGAGGCTAGCATCTACTCTGGCAATTTTCAAATCAGGGCTAAAAACTGTTCTTTTTAGCTGCGCATACGGCTGAAGGATTTTATTGATACATACTCTTTTTTTTAATGCATTGTGGTTATTTATTATTTTAATCCCGTGTGTGCTTTTAATATTTTAAGGTTTTTTTCATTACTTGTGATTTTATTCTGTTTTTAATGTATTTATTGTTTGTATATGTAGTTTTTGATGTTTCTGATTTGTCTGATATTATGTGGGTTGTGAGGCGCTTTGAGTGGCCTTGTGTTGGAAAGGCGCCATACAAATAAAGTTGATTGATTGATTGATACTGGGGCCCAGGTTAGTCTGATAGATAGGGCTTGGAGAAACAAGTACATTCCAGATGTTAGTGTCCGCCCTATATCAGAACTGATGGAGTTAATGCAGTTTGAGTCAGCGCCTATAATCTATGCTGTTAATGGGGAACGTTTACCTTTTGATGGGTGGGTTATCTTAACAGTGAACTTACCAGGTAATGAAGATCCAAGGCTCTCACTAAATGTACCTTTCCTAGTCAGTTCGCAGCCGTTAGAAACGCCACTAATAGGTTTCAATGTAGTGGAGGTACTCATTCAAGGTAGCCCAGAGCAGGCAGCTTGTAATTTAGCTAAGTTACTTGGGGGAGCATTGTCCATTCCAGAAGACGATGCACAGGGTATGGTGCAATTCATTCAAACTCGTAAAGTGAACGCTGCCCAGGGTCGCTTAAGGTTAGGGTACAAAGAGACAGTTATCCCTGCAGGCAGTACTACCTGGGTAAAGTGTAAAGTCCCACCTCAGCTTGACCCCAGCGAGAAATTAGTCCTGTTTGAGCCAGAAGAGAGTTATGTTCAGTTACAAGAGTTAGGGCTAGGCGAAGGACTCCTTGAGATCCAACCCGGCAAAGTACCCTTTGTAACTGTGCCACTTGAAAATCACACAAAACATGATATTATTTTAGCAAGAAAGTCTGCTATAGGTAGTATTCAGCCAATAAAGAAAGTGATTGAGACAGATTTACTAGATGATGTTGAGGCTGAGGGATATACAGCCACTATTGCAAAAGTTGAGATAAAACCTTCACTAACTTTGTGGCAACCACCTGTAGATCTAAGTCAACTTGAGAAAGACCAACAAGAGACTGTAGAAAAGATGTTATTTGAGGAGTCAGGAGCTTTTGCTAAGGACACTAATGACATCGGCTGCATCCCAAGTTTACAAATGTCACTATGCCTCAAAGACGACATCCCTGTACAAAGAGCTTACTCGTCTGTGCCGAAGCCTTTGTTTTCCGAAGTGAAAGAATACATACAAGATCTCCTCGCTAAAGGGTGGATTGTAAAGTCAAAATCTCCATATGCAGCTCCTGTCGTGTGCGTCCGCAAAAAGGACGGCTCATTGCGCCTTTGCATAGACTACCGTTTACTGAACCAGAAAACAAACCCGGACAAGCACCCTCTCCCACGAATCCAAGATCTGACAGAGACTTTAGGGGGGCACTCCTGGTTCAGTATCCTCGATCAGGGCAAGGCGTACCACCAGGGATTCATGGCAGAAGGCTCACGTCACCTCACAGCCTTCGTCACTCCCTGGGGGCTTTACGAGTGGGTACGAATACCTTTTGGCCTCTCAAACGCACCAGCTGCCTTTCAGAGAAGTATGGAGGAAATGTTATGTTCGCTCAGAGACAGCTGTTGTATTCCATACTTGGACGATATCTTGTGTTATGCACCAACATTTGAAGAACATGTCGAGGGTGTTAGACAAGTTTTGAGAGCACTCCAAAGACATGGTGTAAAGTTGAGACCTGAAAAATGTGAACTGTTTCGCAGAGAAGTGAGATATGTAGGTCTCCTTGTATCAGCAGAGGGTGTGCGAATAGACCCTAAGGACTTAGAGGCTGTTCAGTCACTAAAAACAAAGACACCACAGACAGTCGGTGATGTAAGGCGCCTACTAGGTTTTCTGAGTTATTATCGTAGCTATGTACAAGACTTTTCGCGCATTGCAAAACCTGTATATGAACTGTTGAAACTCAAACCAGGCGTGTCAACTCACCAGTCCTGTCAAGCAAAGACAAAAGGTCCTCAGTTGTCATCCAAGGCCCCTGTTGAGTGGACTAATGAGCATCAGCAAGTATTAGAACAATTAATCGACATGCTCATCAGTCCTCCAGTCTTGGCCTATCCGGATTTTAACTTACCCTTCTGTCTCCACACAGATGCCTCGGAACAGGGCTTGGGTGCTGTTCTGTATCAGCGCCAGAACGGGAAGCTAAGAGTCATCGGGTATGGGTCTAGGACACTCACACCAGCCGAAAGAAACTATCGTCTCCACAGTGGCAAACTGGAATTCCTTGCACTCAAATGGTCAGTGTGTGAGCGTTTCAGAGACTACCTGTACTATGCCCCTTATTTCACGATATATACTGACAATAACCCATTAACTTATGTAATGAGCACAGCCAAGCTAAACGCTGTGGGACATCGCTGGGTTGGGGAACTGTCCGACTTTCGTTTTGAGATAAAGTACAGACCCGGAAAGACAAATGTGGACGCTGACACGTTGTCCCGTCTGCCTCTGAATATTGACAAGTATGTACATGAGTGTACTGAGGAACTATCACCCCACGTGATTCAAGCCACATGGAATGGCGCTAGAGCTGCTCAGGACAGTGAGGTTGCGTATGTTGCTGCCCTTGTCCTCGCCAATGTGAACTCAGAACCGCAGTCACTTGTCCCAGCCATTAGCCAAGAAGAACTTGCTCAAGCACAAAAAGAGAACAAAACTGTGGGTGAAATCATCCGATTGAAAGAAAATGTGACTGTTTTAACACATGAAATTAGAAACTCTGTGCGTAAAACAACAAGAAAAGTTTTGCAGGAGTGGAACAAGCTGCATTTTGAAAACGGACTTATGTACAGACAGAGTGGTGACAGACAGCAACTAGTCCTCCCTGCCAAGTACAAAGACATTGTGTTAAAACATCTGCACGACAATATGGGACATATTGGCACAGAGAGAGTACTAGCTCTGGCAAGAGATAGATTCTATTGGCCATACATGAAAAATGAAATTGAGTACTATGTCACAAGAAGATGCCCATGTATTATCAGCAAGAAACCAACAGCGCCCGTCCGTGCTCCCATGGGCTCCATCACATCAAATTCACCGTTGGACCTGGTCTGCATCGACTATCTTCATCTAGAGCCCAGCAGAGGGGGATATGAGTATATCCTTGTCGTCGTAGACCACTTCACTCGGTATGCCCAGGCGTATCCAACCAAAAACAAAGCTGGGAAGACGGCAGCGGAACGCATCTTTGGAGACTTCATCCCACGCTTTGGATACCCGGCGCGACTACACCACGACCAAGGTCGCGAGTTTGAAAATGAACTCTTCAAGACTCTGAGGGAGAAGTCTGGAACTGGACACTCGAGAACATCACCGTATCATCCGCAAGGTAATCCAGCTGAGCGGTTTAATAGGACACTTCTGCAGATGTTAAGGACATTAGGTGAGAAGCAGAAGGAACACTGGAAAGATCATTTACAACATGTAGTTCACGCTTACAATTGTACGCGGCATGAATCCACAGGGTTTTCCCCTCACTTTTTGCTTTATGGACACCACCCACGTCTCCCAGTTGACTGTTTATTTGGTTTAGTTGGAGACAAACAGACAGTGTCACACAAGAGCTATGCAGATAAGTGGGCTACAAAAATGACAGAGGCGTACAAGATAGCCAGTGAGAAAAGTAAACAGTCTAGTGCCAGAAGCAAGTCCTACTATGACAAAAAGTTAAAAGGTGTTGTATTGGAGCCTGGAGATAGAGTCCTCGTTAGAAACTTTAGTGAACGAGGGGGGCCGGGGAAATTACGTTCTTTCTGGGAGAAAAACATTTATTTGGTTAAAGAACAAGTAGGTGACAACCCGGTATATGCAGTTTACCATGAGAATAGTGATGGGAGTAAGACTAGAGTCCTCCATCGTAACCTCTTGTTACTGGTTAATGATCTCCCAGTAGAAACCCCGCCTATTAGGCCCGAACCCACATCCAAAAGACAGACAAGACAGAAAAAGTCTAGTAGAAAAGACATGCATAACAGTAACTCTAGCGACTCAGACTCTGACGAGAGTACAGGGGGTTATTGGTTGAGGTTTCCTCTTAGACCGACTGGTCAAGTAGGCAGGGGTACTGACTTTAGCCAGCCTGACTTGCCCCAGACAAGCCAAGCCCCTGAGAACACGAGTAACCGCTTTCTGTTGCCAGTAAGAGACAGTGATGGAACCAGTGCGCCAGAAGGACACTTACAGACTGAAAGAGACAGCCATGTGCCACAGGTGACCCCCGCCCCTGTGGTATCAGCCCCACCAGCTCACTCTGGAGAAGGAAGTGAAGAAGGTAATGTTTTCATACCTCCAGAACTTCCACAGACACCAGTTGACCTACAGACTGAAGTAAGGAGGTCAAATAGAGAAAGGAGACCGAGGCAAGTGTTTACCTACCAGTCACTTGGTGAACCTACCCTTCAACCACAAGCCATGGTTTCCACCCTCTCACCGTACATGCCGTATCAGCCATGGGTAGCCACACCTTATTTTCCATTTGGTGCTGGTTTTGTGCCTAATATCCCGCATACTTTTGCCCCACAGACTTATGCCACACCCATGTTATGGTGACTAAGATTTTGAGTTGTAAAGTGTTTGATTTTTGTATTTTGTAATGTCAGGAGCCATTTTTATTTGTCAGGGAGCGTGTGACACCCAGTAATGTGTTGTCACATTATGTTTAATTGTATTTAGTATTTAGATAAGTCTTGTTTCATAACAAGGACGTTTACGTTGTAGTAACACCCTGAAGCCAGCAGGTGGTGTATGGTGAGCAGGTGTAATGAGGTCAGTGGCGCTCCTTCACCAATATGGCTGAAGCGAGACAAAAGGAAACCCCGTGTCCGCCTGACTCATCCTTATCCTGTATTTTTCAGGTTCGTACTAATGTCACAAGCACAATGTATGGGTCAGAACATACTTATAACGGTAACAGCTAACTGTTAGAATGTTTTAAATGAGCTTTTTCTGTAGTTTTGTCAAGTTTTGTGTGGTAACGGAAAAGACAAGGAACTGGTCAAGGCGAAGTAACGACCGCCATCTTATGTGTCTCGTATTTTATTTTTCAAGCTCCGATTTAGATAGTGATACTGAATTTTACGTGCCTTGACATAGTTTGTTGTGTGTACATTTGAAGTTAATGTTTGTAGGTTTGAATAATTACAGTTAAAAAGGTCTCCATCTGAAGTTAAAGCCAGTATTCGTAGCTCAGGAGCTACTAAGCTAGTAGTGGTACATAAGAAGTTTAAAAAAGGAGTACAGCTACATTATGAATAAGATATGGTATATGTATATTAAATACAGACAAAATAAATAGATAAAAAGTATTTAATTGACTAGATACAATGTCAAGGGTAATTTAGACATTTACTGTACATGATTAAATGATTAAAATGTGATTATTATTATACATGATTGTGTGAATAGCATTTGTAAATGTTGAAGGATGAAAACACATGATTGTATTAATAAATATGGCTGAAGCGAGACAAAAGGAAACCCCGTGTCCGCCTGACTCATCCTTATCCTGTATTTTTCAGGAACATTTATTAATCTGCTCAAACAGGCCCAGGACCTGGGTCTGTTACACCAGTCGTGATTGAAACTGACCACCAGCCGCTGGTCACAATCCAGAATAAGCCCTTTCACACAGTCCCTGCACGACTGCAAAGAATGATGCTGAGACTACAAAAGTTCAACATGACTCTTGTCTACAAAAAAGGTAAACACCTCTACATTGCAGACACACTCTCTCGCACACCAAAAGTGGATACTCCACCGCTGCAGGAAGAAAAACATGACTTTGAGGTAATGTCAATTCAGCTCATTTCTTCACAACGTTTGCAAGAGCTTGCCGAGCAAACGAGAGCTGATACTACTCTGCAAACACTGATTCACTACATTCAGCTGGGGTGGCCAGCACGAGTGAGCAGTGTACCGGAAACAATAAAACCTTTCTTCAACATTCGTGATGAACTTTTTGTTGATAACAATGTTGTAATGAAAAATAACAGAGTCATTGTTCCAGCTGCGCTGCAGGATGTGTATTTGCAGGAGCTGCACAGAGGACAGCCAGGCATGGAGTCTACAAAAAGGAGAGCAAGGGACACCGTTTTCTGGCTCACCATAAACAGGGACATTGAGGAAAAGGTAAAATCATGCGGTGTGTGTAACAGCCTAAAACCTCACCAACAAAGGCAACCTCTAAAACATCATTACATTCCGGATCTCCCATGGTCCATCACTGCCACAGACATATTCGAGTGGGACAACAACTACTATCTCGTGCTTGTTGATTCCTATTCTGGGTGGTTTGAAGTGGACAGACTCGAAAACATCACCTCAGCGTGTGTGATCAAAAAACTGAAACGAAACTTCTCTGTTCACGGAATACCAGAGAAACTGTACTCCGATAACGGAACACAGTTCACAAGTCAAACATTCCGTGATTTTGTTACATCCTGGGAGTTTGAACATGTCACGAGCAGCCCTGAGTTCCCTCAGTCAAACGGCCTCAGTGAGAGAGCTGTTCGAAGTGCAAAGAGACTTCTTGAGACAACAAAAAGGGGGACCGATTTCTACTTGAACCTTCTCCATCTACGAAACACTCCACGAGATAATATCCTTGGATCACCAGCCCAAAGACTGTTTTCCAGGAAAACGCGGTTCACTCTTCCCGTTTGTAAAACAATGTTAAAACCAGCAGCGAAGGTGACAACAACCATCAAAGCCCAGCTCACAAAAAAGCGCAAAGCCCAAAAACAACATTTTGACAAGTCAAGTAAGCCACTCACTCCTCTAACACAAAACCAGGTGGTGAGATTACAAACACAAAAAGGACATAACAAGATTGGAGTCATACGCAGAGTCTGTACTGAACCTCGTTCCTATGTTGTCGAGTCAGATGGGAAACAATACAGACGCAACAGGCAACACATTCTGCCTGTAAACGAACCACATCCAGATCCAGTCACTCCACAGTCAAACGAGACGGATATGTATCAACATGAAGACAAATCAGAGACTGAGAAAACACAAAGTGACGCACGCGAAATGACTGAGAATGTAAAACCAATACAAGACAAAAAACAATGTGAACAGAAAATGTATGACCACGTTACTCTGAATGACCCACCTGTAAAAACTCCTGTGAAATGTGATAACATGTACCGAACCAGATATGGTAGAGTGTCTAAACCAAACAGCAAATACTCAGATTAGAAAAGACCCAGAGTATACAGACTTTTCACAATGTTTATTTTATTGAAAAATGTTATGTTACAATTGACACAAAGGTTTATCCCTGTTTAAGTGTGAATTGATAGATGCTAAGTTTTATTCACTATTTGCCCCATGCAAAAAAGTTAAAAGGAGGGATGTAGACAATGTTATAATAAGTGTCACATTTAGATTGTCCTTATTGCTTACCTTACCCCAGTTACCGGGAGTGAACAGTAGGTGTCAGGGTTGAGTTACCCGGGGGCGGGGGTTCATGCCAGATGGCAGTCTAGACCACATGTTCATGTTAGCTGCTAATAAAAAGCGTATTACGCACGGCCAATGGACTGATTCTTATTCACGAATCTACAGGGGCCAAGGTACTGAGTGACAAACACATCAGAATAGATTCATGGGAACAGTCATATGTTTGTGACTGATCAACAAGACAATCATTTTCTTTGAACGTTTGAAGTCAATAATTCCCTTTGACTGACGTATCCAAAGTCGATGCAAGAGCGAGACAAGAGATCTTCACGTTTAACATCTGCATTTAATTATCTTTACAATCAGATACAGAATATTCAACAAAAAAAGTGCTCCTAAACTAATATGTCCCTCTCCTGGCCCTCGGCTGACTGACTGCCAATCTCCTCCCAGCAGTTTCTATCAAAGGGTCCGATGACGTCACAGATCTGGGAGTGGTCTGGCCCCTGGTCCTGGTCTGGACCCGGTCTTCCATCTCCACCTGAGCAAACAATGCCCCCCACCACTGGGCGCCTGATTGTGTTGGACTTTTGCCCTCGTCGAGAGTGGGAGAGAGCATTTGTTTATTCTTGGAGTCAATAATTGTCTGGTTTTGTAAGCTGGTCATCTCTTATGATTCCTGAGTGCATATTCCTTTGTCTGATGTGCAGCATTTTGTGAATATTCGTCAGTCCCTCTTTTGACCTATATTAACCAATAGGTCACAATCTTTCAATATTCTCTGGGTGACGGGACTGGGGAGATTCCATCATCCTAGTTCTGGCTCGATATCTGTGAAGAGTTAATACAGGAAGACGAACAACACACAACCACATTGAAACATTCCTTCACTAAACTCTTTGATGACCACTGCTGTCATTCTGATCCTTCTTCAACCTCGTCTGTAATGTATGCACTAAAACTATTCACTATAGTTTAAACTATTCTAATCTATTTACCAATATGTTTGCATCTTTGCTTTTATTGAGCCATATTCTTAAACATATGTTTTTATCTAATAAATCTATCTATACTGTGGTTTGCTGTCATTATCAGTGGCTCTGTGCCATTTTGTGGGGCTTTGCTCATTTTTCCAAACACATTTTGTTGAACCAGGAAGTGCTGTCACTTCCTTCTCTCAGACCGTTTGGGATAAATGTACATCGTTAATCAAATTGGTATTATCCGTACAGGAGCTAATCTATTTTAGCAGGTTTCTCTGGGGTTAGTCCCTATACAACGGTATTTTGATTCTCTAATCTGTTGCTGACAAATCGACAGCTCTTAAAATTCTCAAAACTACCTAAAGATCTACTTTTGTGCTATACCCAAATTCATTAAAATGCTTTCAAATGTTTTTGAATCTGTGTTGGTTCTAATCGATCTCATTAATCTATCTCATTAGCTTTTTGCATTGTCAACATTCACCTATGTTTGAAACAAGTGAATTTGACAGTATCTAATAAAACTGTGCATAAACTGTAATGAACTTTATCTACCTTTGAAGTAAATACTTTTGGACATAATATGAAGGAAATGGTCCTTTTACCGTTTGATATTAGCCCTGTCTAAAAATAATCTCTATTTTTGAAAGCATCTATCTATTTTACACTCTATTGTGACTCCAAATCTTGGTTGTAGTTTGAGCCAAAGCATATTCCCAACTTTTGAGTTCTGATTGTAACAATAGCATTGGCAATAGACGATTTTTTATTGGCCGGTTCTTGTTCTGCAAATCACTATTCTATGTATTGTATTTCAGACAATTCCAAAAACAACACAGTCGTTCTCCAATATTAAAGACATACATCTAAATCAAGTTGCCTGAAA